CTCACCTGGTTTTCTGTTGAGTAGCGAACCTTACCGGATCATTCGGGGAGAAAAATCACTGCACATTAGAGCCCTAAAAACAAGTTGTTAGGGGTAATGTGAAGAAGAGACTACGCAGTGTTCACATTCTTTGCAGGAGATCTTGCGTGGACCCAAATGGCACAACAGAACGGTGCAATGGTTTTCCTTTTGGAGCATCGCTATTATGGCTACAGCAGACCAACAAAGTATGCTTGAGCTTAGGTGGAGGTTGTTCCAAAGGCAGATGGGATTTTCAGGGATATGACAACGGCGAATCTCGTCTACCTCAGCTCAGCTCAAGCCATAGAAGACATGGCTGCATTCATTACCGCTATGAAAAAGAAATTTCCCGCAACTGGCAACTGCTCCATGGGTAACATTCGGTGGATCGTACTCAGGTAACAAGCTGACATTAACAAAAAAAAGTGCAGGACCCAACAAAGTTGCATCCAGGTGCACTTGCCGCATGGGCTCGCGTCAAGCATCCAGAACTGGTAGCTATGGCTGTCGGGAGCAGTGGTCCTGTTCAGGCTGAAGTCGACTTCGTCGGTGAGTTTTGCAAATTTTTATAAGACTCTCATCTGACCAAGAAAACACCGCGTGATCCGCAAGGTAACAATGTAAGGTATAGAAACGATGGAAAGCTTCAAGTTTTCCCTTCTTATGTTGGACCTTTGATCAATTCTCAAAAAAAGAAATTAGCATGAACAAAAAAAAATGTGGTTACAAAAAGCATTCATCGGCGCAGATTTGCGATGAGGTGACACTTTGCACTTCCCTGCTTCAGCAGTTCCGGATTACAAGTCTCATTCTGGCGATACCTGTGAACTCTTGTAAGGCTGGAGCGAGCGGGAGACGGCCAAGAGGATCGTAATTTGCCGCTCCGCCGCGCGCGGCGATGAGCGCGGCGTTTTCTTAACTCTTGTTAACCTGCCGATTGGAGCCCGGACTTCATGTAGACCCCTTCATCGTAGACATTCATGGCTATTTTCAGTTCTGCATTGCCTGTTGTCGCCATCTACTACCTGGAACATCGTTATTTGCGGGCGCGACGTCGCACGCGACGCCCACCAGCGCGGCGAATACGATTCCTCTTGTCACATACCCGGAGCAAGCTCGTGCAGCACATTTGGTGACCTGGACAACTTCAAACAAAAAGTCTGCTGTAGATTGTGTCGACAGCGTGGACGCGGAAGTACCTGAGTGCAAAACGCCCCTTCCACCCGTCGCCGGACTGTCCCGCATTCATCTCTTTTTTGAAGACTGGACCACTCGCTATGAAGCTGTCAGCCCGTTCGGGGTATTCGCCATCCACCTAGCAAGTAGGCTAAATTCTGCCTAGGTCTTCAGCCGGCACAGCATGTCGTTGTGGCATAAACCCTTTATTCAAAAACATTCTTTTTTTTGAATGAATCAGTGGAAAAAGCGGTGGGACATGAAAACATTTCTGGCATCCAACATTAATCTCTATTTCTCTTCTAGAAGGAATGCACAAAGGGATAAACGCTTCACCTTTGTTAAGATGCGCCACATATTCTAGTTCTCTTCAGAATCGTTTCGCCATGTCGGCAAGTGGCCCGGTCATCACGCGTAGGGTTCGGGGGTCACATTTTACATCGGCTGCTGCCCAGGCCAAACAGACTGGGTAGGAAGACGGGCGATTCTTTTGTGAGCTAACGCATTCCACGCCGCTGCACGGCGCGCGCGGCAAGCGTGTTGCGCGGCAGTGTCACAGTTGCACCAACATATCTAAAAGAGTTGTCGTGAAGTTAGGGATGCGCTTGGTTCAGAACCAGCAGTGGGATGATCCTAAAGGGAATTGAAGGTGCTCCGAGGCAACAAAGCTCGTACGCAAAGGGTACGGCAGGCTGTGCTCCCGCGACTACGACACGGTCGCCGCATACCGAACCTTCTATTGCCTGGGAACGGTGCGGTACCAGATTCGTCTGGGAGGATCAAATCACTAATTTGTACATCAATTGGCCCCCGCAACCCATTGTATAGGCCATGTAGCACTCGATCCCCAACCAAAATAGAGCCATATTATTTTGAATGGGAGAAGAATGAGCGGCACATCCCAAAGATGATTAATCAGTACCGTAATACTTTATACTTTTGTCATTGGCATTTTTCATGAGGTAAGCTCAACGACTGGCTCGCACCAGTCTGTATAATCTATACTTACCGAGCGAGTTTCATACCAGTTACTCGAATCCGAAGGTGAGGAGGCTTGGCTGTCCCCGGAGGAAGACTACCCGAGCTCGGACCCTCGAACGATGTGCGTGGTGAGATGCACCACTTGCCATGGACGCTGCTATCTGTCA